AATTACTGGATGCTGAGATATTTACAAAAAACGATTTTTTGAGTTTCAGCAAAAAGGGGTGTTTTTGGCCAAAAGTCCATTATGACCTTTATATTAGATATCCGGGGTCCTAACATTATATTCAACAACTTGCTATGAAGATTTTATCAATTACTCCACATAATGCAGGATGTGAACGTGTTTTCTTCATAATTGGTTGGATGGCTAATAAAAGGAGAACACGTTAAGTTAATATTTAATATTTAATATTACTATATTAAAAAAAGTATATTATGCCTTTAATTTAGTTTTAATGTATTTAATTTAGATTAAATGTTGAAAAACTTGAATCAATGGCGAAATTACATACGTACTATATAACAAATGCAAAGTCTGAGCTCAAATTTGCATATAATACACTTTCTGAAGATCAATTTCAAAATGAAATTCAAGAAACATTATCTGATCCTTCTTTTTTTGATAATGATGACGATAATAGTGATTATGATGATAAGGATGAGGATTATGATCAAAATAAGGATGAGGGTGATGATACTGAGGCAGCTAATAATAATAATTTGGAAATTTCACGATGGGTTAATATTATGTATAAAGAATTGCAAGAACTACTTCAAACAGAAGTTAAAGTAGTAATTGATATTTCTCCTCCACCACCACTGGTAGATCACGGTTCTCAAGAATTTAATATGGAAGAAGTGTTAGATAGAATTCTCACTTAAAAATATAAAAATACATTGATAAATAAATTTTAATATTTGTTTGGTATAAATTACCCATAAATTTTTATAATGCTTAATTACGTCCAATATAAAATTGACCCGTAAACCATTTAAAATTAGGATTAATTTTACATTCACCTCCGGTGAATTTCACCTTGATCTGCAATGCATTAAAATTTTAAATTTACCCCGGTGAAATTCACCAGGTGATTTCATATTACACAAACGCGTAGCGCATATTTTGTTTTTTGCTTTCTTGTAGTATTATTTCCAAAATGACTGGAACTTCTTTAAGGTAAGATTTTTTTTATTTTCTTATTACTTCGCTAGTTTAATGTTCTTTTTCTCTTATGCTAACTTGTTAACTTGTTTTTCAGAAAACAATTTCAAATAACTTCAAGAGGTTTAAGGTAAGACTCACTTTTATTGCTAGTATTTTGCTATTTTATTGTTTTCTTTATTGAAAATAATACTAACAGTTTCTTTTATTTTCTATCATCACTTTATTCCCTTTTCATTTGCTATATCCATTTCACTCCCTTTTCATTTATTTGCTATTATTTTTTTCGCTCCTTTTGTTTTTTATTATTTCATTATTCCCTTCGCCTCCATTTTATTTTTCTATCATTTCCTTTGCTCCCATTTTGTTTTTAATTATCCTTTTCATTTATCATCGTCCCTTTCGCTCCCATATCATTTTTCATCACTCCATATTGCTCCATATCATTTTTCATCACTCCATATCGCTCCATATCGTTCCATATCATTTTTCATCACTCCATATCGTTCCATATCATTCTATATCGCTCCATATCACTCCATATCATTCCATATCATTTTTCATCACTCCATATCGCTCTATGTCATCTTTCATCATTCCATATCGCTCCATATCGGTTTTCATCATTTCATATCGCTCCATATTATTTTCCATCATCTCCATATCGTTTTTCATCACTCCATTTCGTTTTGCAACATTCCATTTCATTTTTGTCATTTCATTTCATTTACATCATCCCATTTCACTCCCATTTTGTTTTTCATCATCCCTTTACTCCAATTTCATTTTTCACATTGTCTTTTTAATTTCATTACCCACTTCATCCCTTTTTTACATATTCATTTCTTTTCCGTCATAAAATTATTAATTGTTAACTGAATTATAAAGGATTATATATCTTATGCATTACTATAGGGTTTAAATTAATAAAAAACTTAGATTAAATGGTTAGTGGATGTTTGTAATAGTTTAATTAAAGTTATGTATATTCTTGTAATTTAAAAAGAAACTTTTCGTTAATAAAACTTTATAAGTTCATGCTAAATGGTCAATAGAAAAACTTTTTTACACGTTTTTATTCAAACATAAAAATTTGAAGTTACGTAATTACCGATCTTAGCAAAATTTTAATATAATAATAAATATCACGTGATATGGTGAAATTCACCTCCCAGAGTCCTCCGGTGAATTTAACCTCCAGTGAGCGTTAAAATGATCCTTAAAATTATTTATTTATTGAAATTAATCGCTAAACGCTAATACATTTTATACATTTTATTAAAAAAAAAATTTTTTTTTTGAAAAATTTTTTTTACGTATGATTCCGATGATTGGGTTGATCAGATAACATCACAGATCCATAAATTCGATCTCATCGATCATTTTTTTTATTTTAATCTTTTTCTTTAAAAAAAAAATATTTCAGTCTCTTAATTAATTATTTTTTTAAAAAATAATATTTCAGTTTTTTAAAACCGATTTTTTTAAAAAAAAATGATATTTCAGTTTTCTTAAACTGATTTTTTTTATTTTTTTTTATTTTTTTTCTTTTAAAAAAATAGATATTTCAGACCAATTTAAAAAAACCGATTTTTTTCTTTTTTAAAATTTAAAATTATTTATTTATTTTTTATTTATAATTATTTTTTAAAAAAAAACAATATTTTGGTTTTCTTAAACCGATTTTTTTTCGTTTTTTAAAATATATTTTTTTAAAAAAAACATTTCAGTTTCTTAACCAATTTTTTTTTCTTTTGCTTTTTAAATTATTTTTTTTATTATAATTATTTACTCTGAAGTCCGAATTGTAACTTTTTTAAGATCAAGAATACGGATCTTGGGTAAGTTGCCTTTTTTTTAAAAAAAAATTACTTTTAGAAACGTTATTAACGTTTCTTTTGTCTTATTTTTTAGGACTTATACTTTTTCGGGTTGAAATTTCAACTTGAAAGGTATGAGGTTTTTTTAAAATTTGCTTTTTTTTTAGAAATTATTAACGTTTATTTTATTATATTTTGTAGGGAAACATTTTCGGCTTCCTGGATTCTTCTAAGACATGAGTATGTTCTGTGTAGGGTTATTTTTATAATTTCTTTAAAGAATCATATTAACGTTTTTTCTTTTAATTTCTCTGTAGGTTTTGGCTTTCTAATTCCTTCAGGATACAGGTATATGTGTGGGTGGGTATTCTTTTAATATTAACATTTCTTTTTTTATTTTTTATAGGGTTTTCCATAAACTGCTTTTCCATTTGTAATTTTTGCGATCTAATCATTATTGTTACATATATTAATAATTACGTCATTTAATTTGCAGTCTGTCCTAACAAATAAATGAAAAATATCAATAGTGCTAAAACTAAAACTAAAAAAAAATAAAATAAAATAATTAAGTATATTGTTTAAGAACTCTTTTTTATGTAATAAATAATAATTGAATTAATTGAATTATAATTTTTAAAAATCGGTTGTACAATTAGTTATACGTAATATAAATTATTTTAATAACTGTTGGAAATAAAGATAAATGGAATAATGGATCAATGGATCAAAGATTCAATTCTAATATAAAATCAATTCCGTCAGTACAAATTAATACGTCAGTACAAATTAATTACATCAGTACAAATAAATTACGTTACATCAATATGCAATTCGGCATTGTGCCATTATAATACGGCATTCAAAAATCAATTACGCTAGAAAGTATAATAAAAACGTTTTATTAAAGAAAGTTTTAAAATTTTTTTTTTGAAACTTATCTTTGGGATTCGGTATCCACGCCAGAACCGATTTCCCTATAATTAACATATAAAAAAAAACGTTTTTAATGTAAAAAAGTTTTATTAAAGAAAGTTTCAAAATTTTTTTTTCAAAACTTATCTTTGGGATTCGCCAGAACCAATTTCCCTATAATTAAAATATAAAAAAAAACATTTTTATTATAAAAATGTTTTATTAAAGAAAGTTTCAAAATTTTTTTTTTGAAACTTATCTTTGGGATTCAGTATTCACGACAGAACCGATTTCCCTATAACTAGGGAAACGGTAAACCGTTACGTAGTCTGGAGCTCGTCACGTGATTTGTAATCATCTAGACGCTGAGAGGATAATTAGCTAAGAAATGTCACAGTCAAAGGGGAATCAATGTATCGAGAAAAGTTTAATTAAAATATAATTTATCTGAATACAGCATAGGGTAGAAAATAATAATAAATTTAGTTGAAATAATTAGATAATTGTGTTGGCTAGTGATAAAATAAATCAATTAATGTATGAAACAATCATATTTTAATAAATAAAGAACAATTAGAACAGAACAATTTGAACGTCAAAGCCACAAAATCACAATTTCCCAAATAACAATAAAATCACACACTAATTTTTATTTTCTCACTATAAAATAAAAGATAAAAACTAAATAAGATGAATAAATTTTACTAATACAGGTATTTTGATAAGGACAAAAAAAAATCCAAGACACCGGAACATCAAGAGGCTCATCTGAGAAAAAAATATAAAATAAAAATATAAAAATGAATGATTCCACTAATCCAGAAACTATACGAAAACGAAACAAAAAAAAACAAGAGACAAATGAACAGCGATCAAAACGTCTTGCACGAGAACAAGAATTAAAACGGCAAAAAAGAGCAAGAGAAACAGAACAACAACATGAGGAGTGTCTTCAAAGTATTTGGGAAGGAAGAAAAAAGAAAAAGATGACAGAAACTAACAGTGATCGGGAAAATCGGAAAAATCGGGAAAACCAACGTAGACAAGCTACGCGTAAACGAACCTGTAAATTAAAAAACCGAAATGTATTAAAAGGAAGAAACATCAACCAACAAACACGACAAGATCATGAAGGACGAGAAATAGAGGAAGCTTATGTGGAAAGTGATAACACAGATTCCGACTCTCATCCTACACAGAATTCAGCCACCACCATGAGCGAAGAAGAAATCAGTATGTTGCAGGATTTCCGCATAAAAATGGAGAATATACGTTATAATCTTTGCAACGTATGTCAAGAGCGAATACCTTTATTAACGCTTGTTAAAGGGACATGTAAAAGGTGTTATTATGAAAAAAATACCGGGGTACGCCGAAAAAGTTTTCTGGGGGTAATAATATGCATCCAGGTGACGTTCCCGACGAACTTAAAGGACTTAGTGAAATAGAAGAAATGCTTATTTCTCAGGGTTTCACTGTGATAACAGTATACCGGCTGCGTGGTGGACAAAACGGCTATAGAGGACACGTGATTAATTTTCCTCAGGATATTCAGGGCTTTACGAAACAACTTCCGTGTGATCCAAGATCTCTGGATGTTCTTGTTGTACGCCGGCAATCATCAAACAATTCAATGGTGTTCAGGGATTTTACTGTACGAAGGAGCAAAGTGTGCAAAGCACTATTATTGTTAAAGGAAAACAATCCTTACTATGAAGACATAATAATTGACACAAATATTCTTCAATCCTTACCCGAGAATGATTCCATTTTCAACATGCTCCCACAACTTCAAGATGATGAATCGGGAAAAGATGACGGCGATAACATTGAAGACGGAGAAGACGTATCAAGAACGTTTGTACCATTAATGCCCCTAACACAATGAGAAGGTGAAGCCATAAACGCAACTCTCAATCGAATGCAAAATGACAATCCTCCGTCGCTATAGCCTGAGATCGAAGGCGTACCTATAAACGAATTCC